TCATTTTGATGATGTATTTCTAATCCAAATACGAGATTATGTAAAATTAGGGTTATGAGCAATTTGAATAATTTGATTACTAATCGTGGGCCCCAAAGTGAGTTGCTTAACCGTCTATTTTTTCCCAGAACACGCATCCATCATAACTCAATTGATTAACTCAACACACTCACGCCGACAGTGCGCTCCTTTGCATATTCTCATCCTTGTAGTAATCATAGTTTTTTTATAAATTTATCTTTTTATGCAATTTTTCTTCCACGAAAATTTGAGACTGATATCCCATAGTATCAGCAGAGTAACCATCTCCAAAAGGATTACTCAATTCCTTTGTACTCACGCAACATTTTCTGCCTTAATCGGTCCATCCAACCGGGACTGATCCATGATGGCTGATGGCAAAAAATGAGCGTATAATTCTTACCTGCCGTAACATTCTAAGAAATATACTTTTATCGACAGTTGACATTTTTGAACATCGAGTTCAATTATGTGTGGATAATAATAGACAAATATTTGAACACTTATTAAGATCAATATAATCCTTTCACACAAAAACTAGATTCTGACATGGATCGGATCGTCTGGATCAGTTCCGCGCGATCTTGCCTTAATCGGTTGGATCAGTCTCGATCTTGTTTTATAATTTAACAAGTACTTAACGAAAAGTAACTTAGTTATAGTGTTTTGGAAAGCTCTCAAGATGAGCTATAATATGTAATGAAAAATAGATTTAGAAAATTGAAGGTAACCTTCACGTGACCTTCAGAGGAATATCCAAGGTCAAATCAATGGCACCACCTTATGTTCCTCTTCGAGCTAAACAACTTTTGTCTGAAACATTTTGTCTACTGGGTTTAGTTTTCGAGGTATTAGGCTGGATTATTATTTAAAATGGGATACCCTGTATATCACTCTCCATTTCTTATATTGACACAAAACTTACATACATTTATCCTAATTTAATCTCTGTTAAGTTTTCTAAATAAATATATATATAATAAACATTTTTTAAATAAATATAGTAAATATACTCAAAATATTCCTTTTTTTAATTAATCTACTTAACCCTTTACGGCATAGTGTTGCATATATACAATACTTTTTAAAACTTTGAAGATTCATTTTTTTATTCAAAAAGTTTTTCATTAAAATTTACATTTATGAATTTTTGGGGTCGCTGATTAGGAATCTGCTGACGGAATTTCGAAATTCATAATGGCGGATCCATTATGACGAACCAAAATTTCAAAAATTTTCAATTTCCGTGAAAATTGGTATATAAAAATTTTCAGGATCATTATGAATCCGTTATCGGAATTGGAGCAGTTTTGCCAACTTATGAAATCCAATAACTAACAGTATCCAATGCCGGAAATTAAAAAAAAAATCTAAAAATATTTATTTCTATTTATGAAAATTTTTATCTTTGTATTATTTTTTATTTTATTTTTGTTTCTACGTTTGTTATTTTTTAATTTCTCTTATCTTTTGTCCTTTTGATATTTATTTTGTTTTTTGTCGTTATCCTTTTCGCTTTTTTTTATTTTTTAATGCTTTCATAATTTTTTGTTTTTTTTTGTTTTATTCTTTTGGACTTTTTATTTTTGTTTTAAATGGCCACAAAGCTCTTCCTTTTGTGTATAGACAATAGCGGATTCATAATCAGCGTCACCAAAAACCATTATATGCAAATTTTCATAAAAGCTGTTGAACAGAGAAAGGTATACTTCAAAGGAATAAACATTTTTTAAAATAAATGATATATGGAGATATTATTTTGCAGTTATACAGGGTGTCTCAGAACTTTGGGACACGGGCTCCGTAGGGACATAGAGCTAAGTGAGAGGAACAAAAAAGTCCTGTACCATAATATGAAAATCGTAATAGTTTTTTAGTAATAACCGCGTAAAGTTTGGCGTTTTCCACGCCCATCGCGGCCTATAGACGCTCCGCGGCAAGCTGTGTGCGTAGGGGCTGAGCGATAATGCGTCTTGCGCTGACTGTCACGATGGCGTCTTGGCGCTTTGACGCCGCGCGACGGTCAGCGCGAGCCGCGTTATCGTTCAGCCCCTACGCACACAGCTTGCCACGGAGCGTCTATAGGCCGCGCTGGGCGTGGAAAATGCCTAACTTTGCGCTGTTATAATTAAAAAACTATTACGATTTTCACATTATGGTACAGGACTTTTTTGTTCCTTTCACTTAGCTCCATGTCCTTACGGAGCCCGTGTGCCAAAGTTCTGAGACATCCTGTATACTTCAAGCTCATCAAAATTGGAAGACACTTCTGTATATTTCCTTATGAATATGAAAGAAAATTGTGTAATGATTTTGATAGAAGGTTCATGAGAACTACATTTTTTCAAAATATGCTAATTTCGACTATTTATTTATATAACTTTTGCAATTATTAATTGTTAATAATTGTATACACTTTTGTTGCATTTGTTAATGTTCTAAGATCTTATAGAATATTTTTTGTTAAAGTCCTTGAAAAATTTCGAAATCTAAAAGAAGAAAGGTAGAACACTCAACATTCCACTGTACCGTAAAAGTACCATTAGTAGTTTTTTAAATTGCTAAATATGAATTTGTCTACGTCAAAATTGATAAATTAAAAATGATGGATTCAATATAACGCAGATATCATAACTTTAATAAATGTCTGTTACAATAAATTCATCATTTTGAATTGGTCAATTTTAACATCGGATTCATAATCAGCGACCTAAAAAACCATTGAATTTAAATGAACATAATTAAAAGCTGTTTATTAAATGACCAATAATACAATTCATAGCTTTTCTATTCTCCATATTTATAGACTTCATATTTAACCATGAATATCTTATTAACCATTGCGACACGTCTTTTAAAAACTAAAAATCCTAACAACATATTTAATTTGATTCGCAACATATTTGATTTGATTTTGATCGCAATAAAACTTCTCTAACATCACATTTCGTAATTAGTAATATATGACAAATTTTGCGTAAAACGCATCTGTCGATGTAAAAATAATATTTTTCAGATATTTTCTACAAAATTCTTAAGTCCCCCTTAAAATTTTGTTAAAAGTACATGTCTTTTTATAGCTAATTCTATTAATTCCTAATTAAAAAAAATATATGGTTTTTGATGAAGTAATACTTGTGGACATTTGCTTTAAAAAATATTATACAGTACATATGAAGGGGGGAGTGGCTCCACCCTCCTGTTAGAAATCTAATCTAACTTAATTTAAATTATTTATACATCTTTGTCATATGATTAGAAGTTGTTGAAGAAATCCCCCTAAAACACGTAATGCTCAAACATATGCAAAGATATATAAGTTGGATTAGGTTACATTTTTCTTTGGGGAGGAGAATGTACGGGGAGAGGCTCCATCCTTCCCCTCTGCTCATATGTAATGTTTAACATTTTTTATATATACATATACTCTGTCGGAAAAATAAACTCTATTTATGGAACTTCTTTTTTTGATAACTTTTTACTAAACAATAAGCCTTAAATAAGATAAAACTTCTTGAATGTTAGTCAGGAAGATGAGTTCTATAATATACAAGGTGGGGGGTTATAAGTTTACAACCCGAAATGTGAAGATTGGGTTAAAACAAACATAAAAGTCCCATACCGTTTTGCGAGATTCGCAGTAATTATCGAATTATTAATGACAGAAATCTGAAGAATGGGAGCGCGCCGGCATAGATGATTGGAGAAACGTTGCAGCTGCTTAGGCCGCAGCACGGCCCAGTCGATCCAGCAACTGTTACCGGTGCGTGGCGAGGGGAAAGACAATGCGCCGCTATTCGTTGTTTTATCTCGCCGGACCTATGTCTCGCTGCACGTCGCCAACAGTTGCTGAGTCGAGTGGGCCGCGCTGTGGCCTGAGTAGCTGCAATACTTCTCCAATCATCTATGTCGGCGCGCTCCCACTCCTCAGATTTCTGTCATTAATAACTCGATAATTATTGCGAATCTCGCAAAACGGTATGGGACTTTTATGTTTGTCTTAACCTAATCTACCTTCACACTTTGGGTTGTAAACTTATAACCCCCCATCCTGTATATCAACAACAACACCATTGAAGGTGATCCCTAAACAATATATTTACCTTTAAGTGCATAAGCAATAAAATAAGTATATAATATAATTAAAATCTGACATATAAGAATATAAGAAAAAACTAATATTTATAACATTATATGCATAATATGACACATTAATAATGAGTAAAATAAGCACAAATCAACCAGTTAAATTACCAAAGATAATATTGACTTCTGGTATTAAGATTATAAAAAGCACTTTTATTAGAAATTTACCGGATAATTAGAAATCTAATAATCATTATTAAAAATTAATGTAAATTCAATATCCTTTCCTATCAATTTTCTTCTAAAAATTTCTTCTTTTTTTCTTATAGAATAATGAAATGGGATAAAATCCCATTGTGCCTTCTAAATTCAATAATGTTAAAATCAGGATAAAATGTTTGCTTTAATTTAACCTGTATCTTCTTTGATCATTTACCAGGCTAATCCGTGGCTTTTTTATTTATTAACAGAACGTTTTCGTACGCAGTTGATGCTATAAATGGAACGTTTTTCCTAATCCTCTGTTGCAGTCATAATATCATATATGCTAGAAGTACAAGATTTTTTTAGCATTACTACCGCATAGATGAGTCAAAAATACTCTCCGATGTATTGACACATTTTGTCACATTATCTTGATCCAATTTATTTTCACGCTGTATAGTACTATCACTTCGATTCCTCTTATAATTATTACCACACAAGTGTGCGAGCAATAGCTTGTAATCGTAATTTAATGCGTTCCTAACTTTATCAGAAAAAAAACGTGTTTAAACCATTATACAAACAAGTATATACATATGCGACATATGTTACTATTTAAATTCAAAAATATTCAATGTATAAATAAATACTACGTACAAAAAAAATTCGCAATAACATATGATATATACCTCTTTTCCTCTTTTATTGCATTAGATGACACCGTTTTCTCGCTCGTTGCGGATACATCACTGTCTGGACTCAGAGGCATGACGAAATTTTCACCATTTGAAATTCCTTGCGTATTACAAAAACTCGGAAGTCTTGACTTCTTAGCCATGAATAATTTTCTCTTCTTAACGTTATGCACATCTTCATTGGCAGATGAAGACAGTGTCTGTTTGTGGCCATTATTATTATTATTTGAATTATTCACTAATATATCTAATAAGGGACTGGACGAACGTTTGGGTTTGGGAAATGTAGAAGCTATGGATTTTGGTACCGAGGAAACAACTTTTCCGCCTAAACTTTCTATTATATCTTCCAAAGACGAACTTTCCACCAGTTCTAGAGATTCTAAGAAATTCGAAAATTTCTCAGATTTTTCATTATCGGTCTTAAAATAAAGGCAATCCTCGTTGTCTTCACTAACGAAAGACGTAGCTCCTGTACAATCGCTACGTAAATCTGTATTAATTTTTGATTGTGTAAATGTTTCTACTTGCTTTTTACTTTGCGATTTTGCTTCTTCATTATCTTGTATCTCTGTTTTACAATCATTAAGAACTACCTCTTCATAATCATATCGTATTTTTTTCCGATGATAATCCCATACTTCCGTATTCTCTTCTATTAATCGTCTTGCGTTTTTATTTGCAAATTCTGATTCTTTCAAAAATGTAACTTTCTCCCGACTCGGTGAAATAGAAGTTTCTCTTATTTGTGGACTATCGGAAGATTTTTCTATCCATGTAATTGCACTTTTTGACTGTATCTTATCATTTGTATATACCTTGAAGTCATCCTTAAGTTCCTCTTTAAATACCAGCAAATTTTCCGTGTCTTTGGTATATGTCGTCGAAACAGCAGATGAAAAAGTAGAAGTCGGTCGATATAAATCATTCGACTGCGTAACTATTGTTCCTAGGGAAATATTCGATACAATCTCACTTAAGGATTCTCTTATACACAACTCCATATTGGACAATGTTGCTTTTTTATTATAGTGACTGTTAAGAAAATCGTTCGCACATGGTTCATCTCCTAACATTATTATTGATCTTTCATCCAACATTAAATTAAATTCTTTTTCGGGATAAGGCTCGTCATATTCCTCGTCAGGAATTTCAATAATTTGAACACGTTCATCGTCCGGCATGCCTGCAAGATTGTCAGCATCATCTCTTATTGTATGTGACTGACCAGTTTGTTCCATTTCTTGCGCTATTTTTTTCTCCGTTTTATTTTCTTTGGTTTTCTGCTTTTCCATTTGCTTTCTGATTTTCATTAACTTCTTAGCTTCATGTATATTTTTCGCGAACTTTGGTTTTTTAATTATATCATTGGAGGTTGACTTGTCATCATCATCACTGTACATATGTCTTTTTTTCGATGGAAAACTCGTCTGATGCAAATCTACTTCTTCCTGTGTATCGTACACTTCTTCGTGATCATCGGTTTCGATCTTCAAGTGACTTTTGTCACTCATCGATTGTAAACCGCTTTTGTGAGACAATTTATAGTTTGAATGATGAGACAATTTCATGTCATTCACTTGCATTTCCTCGATGTTATCGGATGTTTCACTGTTAGAGTTGTCGACCTGATTTTCCTTCGTTAAACTCGACGAGCCTGATTTCTGGCTCGTTACATTTGAATATGAATTGTTGGATTGCGAAGTTTTGCTATTTGAACCATTTGATCCATCTCTGTCGGTAGAACGCCGATCATTCGAATTTTTCCGCAAACTAGGATGATCATCCTTCATTTTAGGTTTTTTTTCTTCTCTACGTTTCTTATCCTTAGGCTGGCTATCGTTTTTTGAGTCTTTTTTGTTATCTAACTTATCATTCCGATCTGAAGTTTTACTTTGAAAATAATTCTTTGTGTTCTTCTTACCATCTATTTTGTCGCCACTCACTTTAACATCTTTTTTCACATCTGTTTTTATGGTCTTATCTTCCTTCTCGCTTCTAGAAGTTTTCTTCAGATCATATTTCTCAAACTTATCCGATAGATCTATCTTATTACTGAAATGAGTTTTACTTTTGCTATCTTTCGACAATCGTTTCTCCTCTCGCCTCACTTTATCCTTTATGTCAATCCTTTTATCCTTGCTATTTACCATTTTCTCTGCTAACGTCCTATTTTTATTTTCATGATAATCCACAGATAGGTTTTTCGACGATGACGATGAAGAGTGTTTGTGCTCTTTTCTGCTGGACTTCCTGTCTTTCGAAGAATCCTTTCTATCTTTAGTTTCCTTATTAAGTTTATCCTTATTTAACTTCTCTTTCTCTGTTAATTCTTTCTTCTCTCTAAGTTCTCTAATTTTCTCTTTATAAAGATCCTTCAAATCTTTAGCTTCTTTGTTAATATTATCCTTCTTATCTGTTTCTTTGAGCTTTTCATCTTTCAATTTATTAGCGTTCTCTTTTACATTTTCCGAATTATCTTTAGCTTTCTCAAAATTATCTTTCATTTGATAATTTTTTTCTTTAATTTTACTTTTGTTATGTTTATCATACTTTATATTACTATTACTACTAGTTTTTTTCTTCTCGTTACTTTTATCTTTAGGATGCTTTGCATCCTTACTGCTGATCTTTTCTTTTGTGCTCTTAAACTTAATAGATTCACTGTCCTTGATCTTTTCTTTCAAACTTTTATATTCACACTTATCTTTAACACTACTGTCTGTAACATCATGAGAATTTTCTCTAGATGTACTTTTAGTACTTTTGATATCTTTTAAATCTTTACATCCTTGAGTGTCTTTACATTTAATGAATTCAAAATTATTCTTAGCTATTTTGTTCCTAGATGAATCAAATTCTTTAATTGCTCTAAATTCATCTTTGTTATTTTTTGCATCGTACTTATCCCTCATTGTTTCGTCAACTTTTGATGTGTCAAATATTGGTGCTGAACCATGATTAGAAGAACCAAAATCTGTTACAATTGACACCCGAGAATCTGATGAGACTTTGCTGAGCTGAGAATCCTGATTACTACAGTCAAAATTATCTTGTGACAATTCATTTGAAAAGTCTGGAGTTTTGGATCTGTGACTTGTTAACTCTGATATTCCTGACAAATGCGAATCATTGGACATATTTGATTCATTTAGGTTCATAATGTCAATTGGCTCGAAAGTAGGACTGTCTTCTTCTTCTTCATCTATTTTATCATCTGACTTACCAGATATGTTTAAATTTATATTACTAGCCACACTAAGAATCTTACAAGCTTCATTGAATATTTTCTCTTCAGAGGATACATGACCATTTTCAGAATCAGTATTATCTTTATCAGTATACAGCACCTGATCTTGTAACTTATGCTCGTTGAATATTTTGTCATCTTCCTTTTCATTTAAGTTTTCACTTGTGTCCAAAGATTCAAGAGATAAATCTTTTAAGCTATTCTTATCTGATTCTGGTGAGACTGGATCCAAATCTTTAGGTAATAAATCTTTAAGACCGCAAGCACCATTTTTCTCCTTTACTTTTGGTCTTTCTATACCTAAAAACTTATAAACTACATCTTCTATTTGTGGCATAAAAACTGAATAAACCTTGGGATTCACTACTTGATCCACTATCCGTTCTACACCAGCATCCAAATATGGCGCATCGTGTATATGCTTGCGCAAAGTTTCTCTGAACTGATTCTTGTTTAAATCTGGCTTCCATGTTTGTTTACTAAGAAATGAATTTACAGAACCTTCAACTCTTGTCCTTAAATTTTGATATGCTGGCTGAAAATATATAATACTATATACTATTTATTAAAATAATGCTATATACTATTTATTAAAATACTACTTATGCAATAATATATAATAGATATGCATTCCAATATCAGTTAATATCTAACTTTTAAATATAGAATGCCACTATTTAATAGGAACATATAAAATGACTCTACATTAAGAACTTTATATATGTAAAATGTTACATAATTGCATAAATATTTACTATGCTGTAAACATTTATCGAGTACTCAAAAAAGCTTATACTAATACTTATGATTCAAATTTACTTACATTTAATATAATATTACATTACATTTTAATTATTGTTGATAAGTTAGACAAAAACTTCGAATCCGTTACAAATATTATTGCATTCAAAATTGTCCATACCTTCGTATCCACATCAGCAATACATTCTTTGCGAAATTGATCGAAGATGCCTTGAGATTTAACTTCACCCACTATATGATCAATCAAACGTGGATCACCAGCTAACAAAGTGTTAGACAAGCTTAGTTCCATATTATTCAAAACACAGAACAATACCAGATTTTATTCATCACAAACCAAAAACAATTATTATTCATACGCCATATTTGTTCTTAAAACCATTTCACACAGTACCTTACAGCCATTGTATCATTTTTGGCAATAAATATAATCAGTTTAGGAAACTGTCATAGTGTTACCAGAGAGAAACCTGAGAGCGGCCAACACGACATTTTGTGCGACACCGACTTTCCGCACTGGGAAAGGACGCCATCTGCACCCATTTTGAGAGGGGATGCTACATCCACTTTCAGGTCTCGGTGGTAAAATCTGCATGTGGTGGAAGTCCGTGCTACATCCATTTTCAGGCGGTTTATGTCCGTGCTGCAACCACAGTTGCTATCTCTATACCAGATTATGCCCGGAGATCTAAAAGAGCGCGAGGGGCGGAGGGGGGAGGAGCAGAAAAAATAAAAGTACGTATTAAATATTAAATCTTCGAGTACATGTTGCCATATCAAAATCTCCTCTATAATAAACGATTTGACATATCTGGAGACTCATGATATATCGTTGCCCGCGTCCCGTTCCCTTCATCCTGCTCCTCAATTCAGCATCCCGTCTGTTCCGGACATTCGCTCGTGGCACTGACAGTGGCCGTCGATAAGCATTCGATCCGCTCGGAGGAGCACATGTTAATTAACGCGACGAGACTCCGATTATAAATATCTCGCAAGTCGACGAAATATTTGAACTTTTAAAAAAAACATCAAAGAAAATCACGTTGATGTTGTCATGAGTGAAATCTCAGAGAGCATATGGCTTGGTGGAAGTGCGCTAGACTCGTGTTGTTGACAGTGGTGGTTCGCGTCCCCAGCGGTTGACGTTGCCTTTTCGGGGAGGAAATGCAGGCGTAGTTCCCCTGACTCCCCCCACCACGGTCCGAGCGGTAGGCACCCCGCAGGGGTTTTAGTCGGTAGAAGTCCGACATAACACCCACCCTCCCCAAGGGGCGGGGGTATCCATGAGGATTTCCCCTGCGTGACCAAAAAAAAAATGGGTGAAATCTCACCCTGGTATATATTTTTTTATTTTCGAAATAAAAAAAGCCAAACGAATGCAATTAAATATTATTTATCATCATTGAATATTAGATGAAAAGTAGAAGAGTTATTGTCCGCAGCGGATAATCTCCCTGTATAAAATGTCGAACTGAAACATATTAAAAAGTATTGACATTTTGAATATTGACATCTGAATTCTACTTTCTGATCCGAAGAAAGGGACTATAAAGTATTAGTTAGTATTAAATTTCACCGCGCTAAATACGAGATGGCAGTGGTGAATGCTTCGCATTAAAAAGGATTCAATTCATTTCAAATATGCCTTGTATTCAATCGCAATCGATAATTTTCAAATGCGAACTTTGATGTTTGATGCTTCGACAGAATAATTTTCTTTATTTTCAGCAATCAATAAATAGAGCGCATCAATGTCGCGTACAGTTGAAAGGCCTCCTAGCATTCCCTTCGTCGTTTCGGAACTTTCGAGAAAAAAAGAGACGCCCAAGGGCAAGTCTCTCTTGCTTCAACCGCCGCCGAGGCCCGCAATATTTACATTGTGCCGATTGTGTTGATCGGCTCGCGAGCGACTCTTTGTCCGTATTGTAATACTCGCGCATCTCGTGTATTCAACCTCATTCCATCAACAGCAGCCGTGCGCGACGCTCTCGTCATTTCCGTCTCGTGTAATTCAAAGAAATGTATCTCGTCGGTCCTTGAGATACTCAATCGGCATCGCGTCGACGTCGCGTTGATTAATTAACCGCATAGTCGATTCGCGAGTATCGGCATTAGAAGCGTGAGTGAGTGAAATCCGAAGGACTCCAGTAGTCGGGAAGCAGGATGCCGGCAGCGATACGTCACGTTTCCAGGTATGTGGAATCATTTATTATGTGGGAGGTCTCTGATAACGAGAGCGGACGTTTTGCGAATTTGTCGGGAATAAGAAGTTGAAATTTCGCGCTCGGCATTCACAATCCGTCATTATCCGACTAGTAATCATGACTTTATGAATTTGCAATTACTCTTGTCAATCTCTATCTGTCTAATTATTTATTGTGTTGTTGCATACAAGAAATATTGATCCAGACAGAGACGGATAACGGTCCATGAACGCGGATTTCTAATTCATCATGTTCTCAATTAAACATTCTGAATAATTCTCAACTGTGTGAGTATACCGGTCTTGTGTAGAATATTCAACGTCATACCGCTTCTTAGACTGCGACCTTTTTTGTTTTCGGTCAGCGCTTCTGTCAAGTCTGTTTACTCTCGTTACGGTATCTAAATTTAAATGTCCATTCGTAAAAGAGTATTCTCGAGAGCACACAACAGTTGTCTCCGCTTCTTGTTGTCATTTCTTTCGTCAGCTCTTTCAAGAGCTCCTATCTAGACATTCAATGTGAATTTTTTGTTACATAGTTGAAGCGGAACGTAGCCAGCTCTGACTGCAAGTCGTTTCGGTGAGTCAAAATGAAAATAAAAACAAAACTCTGCATGACGGATGTGGGACTAAAAAGTTCGAGTCAATGCGAATTGCAAATAAATTCTTGCATGTGTGTATTTGTGACGTTGAATAAAATACATTGCTCGAAACAATCAGGGGATTACTTGATCGATAGCCTGCATTATATACGAGATTTAAAATACTGAATGACTCTCTTTTGATGTTCAGTCATCTGAATAAAAGATATTCATATGTATAAACGCGATACCATCATCAGCTGCTTTATTTTTATTTTTCAAGCGGGCCGCAGAATTATTTAACGATTTAATTATTTGACAATATTCAATTGTCTGTGTAAAATATATTCATTCGCATAAATGCCGATACCGTTGGCTACTTTTCTTTTATTTGCAAAACAGGCTGTAGAATTATTTGGCAATATTGTCCTTTCATCATGATCCCTATTGTCTCGAGTAGCGTATAATGCGCAAAGAAATTGCGCCAGTGCATGCCGAGCTTGAGGTATCTTCGCTCGCGTGCCTTTGAATATCGCGACCGGGGTTATCAAAATACGCGTTCCCGAGAAGCGCTTTTGAGATAAATGCTAGTTATAAGCGAACTTGATCGATAGCAAATTTAACCTTCGATATCTCCTAAACGGCTCAAGATACAGGAACGCTCTTTCGCAATATAGTCCTATATTAATCCTATTTTCAACCTAAATCCCGACTCTCAATTCCCAGTAGAAGCGGAGATATTAACGGTACAAGTTGAAAATTTTTAACCTTCGATATCTCCTAAACGGCTCAAGATACAGGCACGTTTTTCTGCCACAATATAGTCCTATATCAGCCCTATTTTCACCATAAATCTCGACTCTCAATTCCCAGTAGAAGCGGAGATATTAACGGTACAAATTGAAAAATTTTAACCTTCGATATCTCCTAAACGGCTCAAGGTACAGGCACGTTTTTTTTTTGCCACAATATAGTCCTATATCAGCCCTATTTTCATCATAAATCTCGACTCTCAATTTCAAGTAGAAGCGGAGATATTAACGGTACAAACTGAAAAACTTTAACCTTCGATATCTCCTAAACGGCTCAAGACAGAGGCCCGTTTTTTTTGCCACAATATAGTCCTGTATCAACCCTATTCTCACCATAAATTTCGACTCTCAATTCCCAGTAGAAGCGGAGATATTAACGGTACAAGTTGGAAAACTTTAACCTTCGATATCTCCTAAACGGCTCAAGATACATGCCTGTTCTTTTGCCACAATATAGTCCTGTATCAACACTATTTTCACTATAAATTTCGACTCTCAATTCCCAGTAGAAGCGGAGATATTAATAGTACAAGTTGGAAAACTTTAACCTTCGATATCTCCTAAACAGTTAAAGATACAAAAACGGGCTTTTGTCTTCTAAGCGACTCAAGATACAGGAACGCGCATTTACCACAAAATAGTTCTATATCAACCCTATTCTCACAATAAAGCTGGACTTTCAATTCTCAGAAATATAGTAGAAACGGAGATATTAACTAGTACAACTTAAAAATGTAACCTTCGGTATCTTCTAAACGGGTCAAGATACAGGAACGCGCTTTTGCCATAATATAGTCCTGTACCAACCCTATTCTCACCATAAAGCTCGACACTCAATTTCCAGTAGCAACGGAGATATGAACAATAAAAGTTAAAAATGTAACCTTCGATATCTCCTAAACGGCTCAAGATACAAGAATGCGCTTTTGCCACAATATAGTCCTATATCAACTCTATTCTCGTCATAAAGCTCGACTTTCAATTCCCAATAGAAACGGAGATATTAACAATGTGGTAGACCGTGCTTGTCAAGTACACTATTATAGTTGTAGTATGGACATAAACCGCCTGAAAATGGATGTAGTACGGACTGCCATTACGGTCGCGGACATAAAGGTTGTCACTTTTTTTTTAATGACTTTCGGGACGCATCCCGACTCGAGAAAGATGAGAGCTGCTGCTCCGCCTGCGGAGCACGTCTGCGCAGTAACTCACAACGAAAGGCGAGAAATGAAATATACGTGGTATGACATAAGTATGTCAACAATCATTGCGTTTAGCGGAGAAAACCGTTCAATGAGCGATTAGTGACTATTAGTCCTTACTGTTAGATCTTTACATTCAGACCAATAACGTTGACAAATTATTCAACAGTTGCTCAACCGTTGAGTGTCGTGAACGCACTCAATTCTTACATTTTGAAAAATCAGCAGCGGAGAGATAGATACATAGTGCAAGTAATTCAAATGGGAATTTGCGTCTTTTGCAAGGTATTGAACATGTATATTAAATTTTAAGTGTAATCATATTTATTTAGTCACTAATCGCTCAGGGTGTAAAGTCGACTATGATTACTCGATTTCTTGTAGCTTAAAATTTACTAGATTTATTACCTAAATTTATTACCTAAAACCTACTAGATTTATTACCTAAATAGTTGGTCAATCTAAATAGTTGGTCAGGAGGATCTGAAACGTTTTATTGTTCTCGTAAAATATAATTTTATGACATTAATCGTCTAGTTCGTGAATCGTTACTCTCTAAATTTAATAACTGTTATTAACATTTTTCAATAACGGTTATTCAGTAATAT